TACCTTCCCCCTGACACAGCTCCAGCCATTCCCTCGGGTCCTGTCACAGAGAGCAGAGATCAGTGCTGCCCCTGTATTGCTGCTTGTGAAGAAGTTGTATATAGTGATGAGATCTGACCTCAGTCTCTTCTCCAGGCTGAACAGACCAAGTGCCCTCAGCCAGTCCTCATGTGGCTTCCCCTCAAGGCCTTCCACCAACTTTGTTGCCCCCTTTGAACACTTTCCAGTAACTTAGTATCTTTGTTATATTGCTGTGCACACAATATTCAAGGTGAGGCAAGACCAGAGCAGAGCAGGGTTGCTCTGTCCCCACTAGAGCCCTTCTGTATTAACCAGCTTCCTAAGCTCCTGGTGAAACCTTGAACTGACCTTTAAAATCTGCTGTTCCAGGAGTCATTCCCTACCTCTTCCTTTGTAAAAGTCTAAAAGGAAAGCTCATCCCTGAGAATTTTACTTGGAACTGTCACTTGAGAAACACTGTAAATACTGCTTTTTCCCCCTCTTCTTCAGGTGGCTTCTTGGGAGAAGGAAATTTACACATGCTGCAGAGGTGGGATAGTGAGGAGGTACCAACTTTCTGACCTTTAAGTGTCTGAATGGGCCAAACAGTGAAGAAATGTGTGGGAATGTCTATTCCAAGCTGATTTTTCCTGAGATGTGTATGTATACGTTTGAGGCTGTTGTGATGACCAGGCTCTACACAGAGTGCTTTGATGACAATATTTCTTCCCATGACACAACTTGGATTATTTTTAATTTAGAGAGTATCTCATGTTAAAATGATGTTTGGATTTTTCAGTGCTGAAAACCCTGTTTTCAGGGGGAGAGAAAACACAGATAAATGTGGCATAGGGAGTGGTGAAAATGACTGTGTCACAGTATGGAGTGAAATAAAGCGGCTGCTTTTATAACACCTGTGTGGGGAAGGGATTTTGCGAGAAAACCTTGGGGTTTTAATAAAAAAGAGGTAAGGAGAGGGAGGGCTGGGAGAGGGCGGGGCAGAGCGCGTAGGTGCGTGGGCAGAACAAATGCTCCCGTGGTGCCGCGCGCGGCGCAGGCCAGAAGTGCGGCGGTAACCATAGCAGCAGGACGCCATGGGCCTGGACTACTATGTCACGCTGGAGGCGGCGCGCCCGCCGCCGACATCATCAGGGCGTGAGGAGACCCTTCCCGGGGCGCGGGACGGGGTCATGGGGGTCGGGGCGCCCCTGGGCATGACTGCACTTGGTGTCTTCCTGTGCCCCACGGTAGGGCTTGGGGGCTGTGAGGGGCAGTGCTCTGTCCTGGTCTCTTCAGAGGGGACACAGAGGTGCTCCGAGGGCTCATTCTGATGAATCTTATACTTGAAGGTGAATGTAGAATCCTGTCTGCTATTTATTCTATAATTTTTTACTAAGCCATGAAGAAGGGAGGCTACAAGAAAGATGGAGACTGTTTACAAAGGCCTGGAGTGACAAGACACAGGAGAATGTCTTCCCACTGTCAGAGGGAAGGGTTAGATGGGATATTGAGAAGAAACTCTTCCCTGTGAGGATGGTGAGGCACTGGCACAGGTTGCCCAGAGAAGATGTGACTGCCCCATCCCTGGAAGTACTCCAGGCCAGGCTGGAGAAACCTGGTCTAGTGGAAGGTATCCCTGCCCATGGCAGGGAGTGGGACTGGATGAGGTTTAATGTCCTTCCCAATCCAAACTCTCCTGTGATCCATAGTTACCGGAGACTGGCCTTGAAGTACCATCCCTTAAAATGCAAGGAGCCCTGGGCATCGAAAAGGTTCCTGCAGCTGGCTGAGGC